TTCAACCGCTGGTCAATATCCAATCGGTTCCAGCAACCGTGGAAACGGTGAGCATCCAATCCAACGGTCAACCTCAGCTTCTCAACGTCCAATCGGTTCCCCGAGCCGTCGAAACTGTCAGCGTCCAACAACCTGTTCAAACCGTCAACGTGTTGCCCAACGGTGAACCGCTGGCCAATATCCAATCGTTGCCCCAAACTCTGAGCCTTCAGTCCAACAGTCTTCAGCAACTGGTCAACGTCCAACCGGTGCCCCAGACAGTCGAGACCCTCAACGTCCAACAACCCCTTCAAACTTTGAATCTGCAAGCGGGAGGACAACCGGTGGTTCAAACTCTGAGCTCCACCGTGATTGCTCAGCCACCACCCCTGCCTCTGCCTGTTCCAGTTCAGACAAACGTGAACATCGTTCCGCAACCCTCGCTCTCGGTCAAGGAGGTCCAGGTCGAGTCCGTGGCGGTGTCATCCCCGTCCTCTGTCGTCGAGAGGATCGCGCAGGGATTTGCCCCGAATCCTCTGGTGGCTGGCGGCGAGGAGGTGAGCGAGTTGTCCTTGGTGCCAGTCAGTGAACAGGTCGTCGTCTCGCCGTCCAGCTCTTTTTTTACCGTAATCAAACCGGAGCCGGTGAACGTGCCGCAGGTGTATTACAACCCTCTGACCGTTGTCCCGTCCTCGAGCAGAGTTGTCTCGCGAATATTTTAATAACAGGTAAGTTTTGAAGGGCCAATTTCGAATTATTTTAATTTTTAATTTTTAATTATTTTATCGATAGTTAAAACATATCGAGGAGGATTATTAATCGTTCGTTTTTCGTTTCACAGATACGATAAAATTATTCGGTGGAGGGATACAAATTCTAATCGATATAACTAGCGCGATTATAAAAATATTAAACATTATGAAATTGGGGCTAGACGGTATACGATTGTATCTCGCTATTTCGATACTATTCCTGTAATTCTTTCAATGTGCCAAGAAAATAGAATAAAATTTATTGGAACGGACAATTTTGTTACTCTATATAACACTTGAACACTTGAAGAGTACATATATATTTATATATAAAAAAGAACTTATACTAATAATTTTTAATTTTTATTATTTTATATGAATAATATAAATATTAAAATTTTTAAGTTAAAAAGAGTTTGTTGAATAATAGATTTTAAATTTATATTTATATATATAAATAAATATTTATATACAAAAGAAAACTTATACTAATAATTTTTAATTTTTNGTTATTTTATATGAATAATATAAATATAAAAATTTTTAAGTTAAAAAGAGTTTGGTTGAATAATAGATTTTAAATTTATAAAATAAATTATAAATATTAAAATTTTTGAGGAGAGCCAAAGCGACGAATTTAAATCCTTTACCTTTAAAAAAGCGGAAGGCATCGTCTCTATTCCCCCGAAACTTCGTCCAATGGACTGGAAGATCGAAATCTCGATCTCGAGGAGGAGGAGGGGG